TTGGACCCAATTTTTGTATACACAAGCATATATTTATACACGTACATGTCTGTGTTCTTGACTTGAAAGGAATTATCTATTTATCACTTTAGATACTTCCAAGAATTTATAATGTCACTTTCTCTTTACTGGTTTGGATTTTTGTGCTGTTATTTATAATATTTTAACAATTCGCCACACAAATATTCGTGGCATTGTCGTGGTAGAAATGAATATGACAACAAACAAACATCACCGTGCTTCTCTTCTTTAATTCTGTCCAATTTATTACTGTTATCCATAACATTAAGGCATTATATTTGACTTTCTATTTCTTGTGTGAATTTCATAATTACTATATTTTTCATTTTCATTCTTACAAAAATGGGTACCAAACGGGGCAAGTTCTTAAACAATACATTTGAACACTGAATATTGAAAAAGAGCATGTGCAATTTATTTATCGGAAATAATAATTGGTTTCTGAAAAAATAAAAACAATACAAGATAATTTTTGGAGGAGAGAATATATAAAATAAATATTCTCTAAAAAGAACTAAGAATGTACAAATTAGGGATTTATTAGCAATAAATATTGATTATTAGGAAGGCAATTTTATGTTAATGATTTTCAAATATTAGAAGGGTATTTTTTTCATTTCAAAAGTAAAATTTCTCCTTTGCAAATTTGTAAATGTGTTTTGCCATGGTTATGTCTAGATGATTTATTCATTATACCTTTGGAAATTCGTTGCCACCCACTTATCAAAATTGTGCACCTATTACCTGCTAAATTGAGCTTTTAATACAGTGGTGCAGTGGACATAAGCTTATGTTAGTGATGCAGAATGAGGGATGATTCCTGCAGAATAATTAGAAATTGCAAAATAGCACAACTAGCAAATAGAATTTCAGCGAGAAGAAAAAGAAGGCAGCAAGAAGGGGTAAAGGGCCGAAGAGGAAGGGGGGAGAAAACCAGAGAAGAAGTAGAAATCAGGGGAAAGGGGAGAGAGAGGAAGTCATAGGCAATAACCCAAGCATTCTATTCTTTAATTCATCAATTCATCAACTGTCTCAAATACGCAACAAAACAGAAATAAATAACAAAATAAAAATCCTAAAGAGAAGGGCTTGGGCCAAACCCGCTAAACAAGCCCAATAACAGAAATATAAATAATAATCCAAATACAATATAACTAATAGTCCAAATAGAAAATAAATAGTAAATGGATGTCCGCATCAACTCTCTCGGGGTGGAGAAAAACTCGACCCCGTCGAGTGGATAAATCAAAATGTTGCAATGAATCTGATGCTAAATGCTCCAAGTCATGCCATGGGGGACGATCTTTCTGACGAACCAAATATCGAAATTCCACAAATGATCACGATGCCAATTGCAAATTACCCGCAAAAACATGAGCTGACCAAGATAACTTAGGCGAATGAGAATTTTGCTGACTCTTATAAAGCTCCAATGAATTTAGCTCATGCCGCTGAAGTCTCTCTTTGGGAATCCATGTACCGTCAGAATCAAGTCGATCCATCCAAAGAACAAGAAAGCACTGAATCTCTCTATCATTGGTCAACACAAGCTGTTCATCCAAAATAACATCAATTTTATTTTTGTGTGCTGTGATAGGTGAGATTGAAGCAGACATGGCAAAAGATTCAGTGGGGGAATTCTCATGTGAGAGTAGAAACGGGTCATCAGAGGGGCTAAAATAGCCTTTGTAAGCATCGAAGTCCGTAACAAATAAAATAGGATGGTGGTCATAAATAAAAGGTCATTGACATTGGCATTTTGACCAACATGCTCTGAAATTTTAAAAAGACCAGTATTACACGCTTGCAATATAACATAATCCCCAATATTAAATTCAAAATGTTGTTTATGCCAATCAACTTGAAGTTTATATAATGCTTTACTTGCTTCAAATTGTTTATTGATCTCAATATGCAAGCTATGAAAATGTGATACAACTACCTCAACTGACATAGACACACAAGCATGTGGGTGCATGAGAATTAGGTCTAGAGGTTTCAAAGGTTCACAACCAAGAATAACTTAAAGGGTTTTAGACCTAAAGACCAGTTCACAAGATTGTTATATGCAATTTGAACAGTTTGAGGGATCAAGTCCCAATTCCCAAGATTTTTCTGGAGTAGAGACTGTAATAAATTGTCAGAATTTTGGTTAGTACTTTTGTTTTGACTATCAATTTGAAGTTGGTCAGTGGTGGATAATTTTGCCTAGTGTTAACCACAGGCGACTGGATTTTTCAAGGGTGACTGGTGACATCATCAAGCTCTTTAACTTGGGGGTAAGGGTATGGCATATAACATGTGATCGAGAATTGTCGGAGATAAGGGGTATAGTATCCAAAGTCTCGAGAAGAGTTTGGATTCCACCTAAGGAAGTGTCCTCATTATCATCCAAGTCATCAAAATCTTCAAGTTTAGGTTCATAGACTAGATCTTCTAACGGCTCCTCTATTACATTCTTTCGTTCTTCCATGACTAAGGTTTGATTAGGACATTTAGAAGCAATGTGATCAAAGTCTTTACAGTTGACGCACAACAAGTGAGAAAAAGACCTTGGAGTTTCAGAAATTCTACCCTGATTTTCCAAGATTGGAGAACCATTAGAAGGGGGAGGTCCTAGAAGGGACTTAACGGGAGGAGGTGGAGCCAATGAAGCCAAATGATGATTATCAAAAATTTTACCCTTATTTTTCAAAATTGGAGGAATATCAGACGGGAGAGGTCCTAGAAGGGACTTAACGGGAGGAATTGTAGCCAATGACACCGAAGGATGATTGTCAATATGCTTTCTTCATGGAAAAGAAGATCTTGGACTATCACGACCTTTACAATTATTTTTCCAAATAGGAGGAATATTAGACGGAGACGGTTTTATGATAGACTTATGATGAGGCGACGCTAATGAGATGCGTGAGCGACGATGACCACGCTTTTCATATGGAGTACTAATAATCAACTCATAATCTCGAGCTAAAGAGTAAGCGTGATGAAGAGTAGTGACATCTCGAAGGAAAAGCTCGCGCTTAAGATCATATCTCAGACCTTGGCTAAACCTACTCAAAGTCGTGCTCTCATTCTCAATTAAATGACCTTTGGTTCGAAATTCCTCAAATTGCGCGATATACTCAGTTACTAATTGATTTCCTTGTTTAAGGGCATTCCATTGAGTAAGAATTTCAAAATTATCTCGTTCTCGCTCACGAATCTGATCCCTATTCCTATCCCTATCCTTACGATCGGGTCGAAAGTATTTTTGATTACCTTGTCGACGATATTGTCTATTATGGGACACCTTAGAATTATTAACATCAATCGAATGAGAGATGTGTTTAAAATTTTTCAAACTAACAGATAGGGCCTTACTCTCTTCAAGAGTAGCGGTCATTTGAGTTTGAACAGCCGCTTTTTGTTGGGTGAGTGCATCGAATTGTGAGGGGTTCATGTTTAAGGTACTAGAGCTAGAAGTGACAAGATGACCAATATGTAACTACATGCACTGTAATAGCAATTTAATGACATACAATGGAGAGATCAACGAACAAAAAGTGCAAGTAATGGAAAATGAAAATTTGAGCTATTTTTTTTTAAATTTAAAATTTGGGACTAAAATTATATATAAAAAGCTAGTACTGCTGGTATATGTAAAATAATAAAACAATGGTCAAATACTAGTCAAAACCTAATCACGTAAAATAAGCAGATTAAAGTGAGATTTAACGAGGTCAATGAATCCAATTACGTGAATTTAGATAAAAATAGATCAGCAGCAGCACAAAAATTTAATTGATGCAATTTCAAAATGAAATAGTAATATAAACCAACAATAAATAAAAGTAAGAACTTCCCTTTCGTTCGTCGAAGTAGTCAAGTCAGATCAACCAGAATAAAAGATGTACCTGTAAATAATAGAAAAGACGTTTCTTCTCTTATTTATTTATTTATCCTTTTTTTTCTTTTTTTTTCACTTTTTTTTGGGAACTGCAGAAAACGATAAAAAATAAAAAATAAAAAAAAGAAATTTCAGGTGTGAACAGTAACGATTTTTTTTTTGGGAACTACAGAAAACGATAAATAAAAAAAAAAGAATTTTCGGGTGTGAACAGTAACGCTTTTTTTTTTTTTGCCTAATCAATTAGAAAGAAAATTGAACAAGAAAACTGCTGCCTCATAACAATTTTTTTTGTTTGTGTTGTTCCACAAGTTTTTGGGAAGAGGATAGGAAGAAAGTTTTGAATTGTGGATGAAAAATTATCTAAGTTTTGGCTCTGATACCACTTTGATGCAGGATGAGAGATGATTCCTGCAAAATAATTAGAAATTGCAAAATAGCACAACTAGCAAGTAGAATTCCAGCGAGAAGAAGAAGAAGGCAGCAAGAAGGGAAAAAGGGCCGAAAAGGAAGGGGGGGAAAAACCAGAGAAGAAGTAGAAATCAGGGGAAAGGGGAGAAGGAGGAAGCCATAGGCAACAACCCAATCATTCTATTATTTAATTCATCAATTCATCAACTGTCTCAAATACGCAACAAAACAGAAATAAATAACAAAACAAAAACCCTAAAGAGAAGGGCTCGGGCCAAACCCGCTAAACAAACCCAATAACAAAAATATAAATAATAATCCAAATAGAATATAACTAATAGTCCAAATAGAAAATAAATAGTAAATGGAAGAAAATAAATAGTAAATGGATATCCGCATCAGTTAGTTTACAATTTTTACTGGTTTCCTGCATTATGTTTCATAGATTCTTCATTTGCAGTCTCTAATGTTAATTATCAATGCAATTTTACAGTATGAAGGAGCTGTCAAGATAGAAGGAAGAGGTTCAACAATCTGGGACCAATTTGCACATTCCTCTGGTAAAAGTTTCGACAAAATACTGTACCAATACAACAGCAGATAAAACTTTAACTTCTTTTACATCCTTGATTATGTCCAATACCGTCTAAAATTGTCTTTCACAGGTAAGGTAATTGATTTAAGCAATGCTGATGTAGCCGTGAATCAGTATCATGTTTACCCTGTAAGTAAAATTACTGATCTTGCTCAATATATAATTTTCTGATATTAAGAAATAAAAGAATTTTAAGTCTTTATTTATTGTACTATCGAGTATTGCATGTACAGAACAAAGGAAGCACATGATATCTTAAGGTTATCTTAATTCAGGGAGATATACAGCTTATGAAAGACCTGGGAATGGATGCCTACAGATTTTCAATTGCTTGGTCCAGGATTTACCCTAGTAAGCTTACTTTAAATTTTAAAAGATCTCTCCAGAACGGACTTCTGTTACATGCTACGTGTAAAACTCGCTCGTTTCTTGAAACACGAATCCTTGCGTAAATTAAAATGCAAAATGGGATGTTTATATTAGCTCTTGAATCTTTAAACCTGTACCGCAATTCGTGATAAGCTAGTGCCTAGTAAACAAACAGTATGGAGAGTCTACTAGAAATTTTCTGTGCAATCTCACTGCAAAACCGAGCTCGAACTTCTCATTATCTGTTTCTGCTGTCAGATGGTACAGGGAAAATCAATCGAGCAGGAATTAAACATTACAATAATCTCATCAATGCTTTACAAGCCAACGGTAATCTTGATATTTGATCATATTGCGCTAAATTTTGCTTCTGGAATAAAAATCAACTGAAGCATTATATTGTATGACATCAGGTATAGAACCCTATGTGACTATCTACCATTGGGACCTGCCTCAAAGTTTGGAAGACAGATACACCGGATGGCTTAATCGGCAAAGCATGTAAGTTGACAAACTTTATTCTTTTACTACTAATATCAAAGAATTAAAAAAAATGAGAACTTAATTTTTATTCTTTTAACAGAAAAGATTATGCAGTATATGCCGAAACATGCTTTAAGGAATTTGGTGACAGAGTAAAGCATTGGATTACATTCAACGAGCCTCATACTTTTGCAGTACAAGGCTATGATATTGGGCTTGAGGCACCGGGGCGTTGTTCCATTCTTCTTCACTCATTTTGCAGGGCTGGAAATTCAGCAACTGAGCCTTATATCGTAGGCCACAACGTGCTTCTTTCACACGCTGCAGCAGTGGACATTTATAAGAAAAAGTACCAGGTAATCATAATAAGTGAAATAACATCCTAAAAGTGTATAATTACTTATTGTTCAAGTAGATCATTTTAATCTTTTTTATTTCCAGCCAAAGCAACGTGGATCAATTGGAATATCACTTGATTCCTTCTGGTATGAGTCGAAAACAAACTCCTCAGAGGATATAGAAGCCACTCAAAGAGCAATAGATTGGAACTTGGGCTGGTAAAGGATTTTATATGTGCCTGTTCACTTTCATGATAATATAGAAAGGGAATTCATTTCTACCTTCTTTTATATCTCAAGCTAAGCGTTTTTGTGCTTAAATTGTTTACTTTTATGGCATGTTTGGTAAGGTAGACTAGACAGTACTAGATAGCGTAGCTAAAATCTTGTCTATTATGTTCTTTAATACTTTGTACGAAAAACGGTTCTTAATGGATATAGTTGTTTATACTGATAGTAGAACGTCTGTGCTAGGTTTTTGGAGCCCCTAATCCTCGGGGACTATCCAAACTCTATGAAAACAAGAGTAGGAAGCCGATTACCTAGATTTACTCAGGCTGAATCCTCCAAGTTGAAGGGCTCCTTTAATTTCATTGGCATAAACCACTACACAACGTGGTATGCTAATGTGAACCATACCAACCTAATCGGTGTTCTGCTGAATGACTCCCTTGCAGACTCTGGTGCTATTATTCTCCGTATGTACCTTAACAACGCTTCTCCAGCTCTTCTTTCTTTGGATGATTTTGTACTCAAATTAATCCAACTTTATAGAAAAAGTACTTCTCTGCAATTCATTATGTCGTTCTACACATGCTGGTTACTTATGTTCGTCTAACTTCCTGAATTCTTATGGTTTGCAGCGTTCAAAGATGGAAAGCCTATAGCCGACAGGGTATGCACTCAAGGAAGTCAAATATACGTTATATCATGGAACTTTGTTAATGTTCTTTACAAACTAATCGTTTCCTAGAAAAGAACTTTTTTTTTGGTAAACACGAAAGTTGCTTATAATACTGCAGTCATTTAAGATACATTTATCTGGTTAACTTGATTGTTTAAAATTGCAGGCAAATTCCATATGGTTGTACATTGTACCTCATGGTATAAGAAGCTTAATGAATTACATCAGGGAAAAGTATGGAAACCCTCTTGTCATAATTACTGAAAATGGTAAATCTCCAAAAACCAGAAGCCAAACTTTCTTTTGAGAAGTGAAATTTCCGGAGCTGAAAAGGGTGTAAACTTGTAGTACTTATTTTATTATTATTATTTTTATTATTTTCATTGGAGCATTGATTTCTCATTTTTAGATTATTGTTTAACAGGAATGGATGATGAAAATAGTCCACTTGTTTCCATTAAGGATGCTCTTAAGGACACGAAAAGGATCAAATACCATAATGATTATCTCACGAACTTGTTGGCTGCAATTGTGTATGTTTCCTCATTTCTCATCTTACTTATTCTAGTATGGCAACACATCCATCTTTAACATCCTCGTTTCAGGTACCTTAATCCCATAATCTATAGTATGTTTTACAACTATTTTACACAACTTACCTTAAATCATTTTTAACCTTAAAAGACCGCCATATAAAAAGAAGTCCTTGTGTCTTTTGTCTATTCATCAAATAATACTGTGTCCTAATTAGTTTGATATTATTCAAAATGCAGAGAAGATGGTTGCAATGTGAAAGGATATTTTGCATGGTCCCTTTTGGATAATTGGGAATGGGCAGCTGGATTTAGCTCCAGATTTGGTCTGTACTATGTAGATTATAATGACAAGCTCAAGAGATATGCAAAGGATTCTGTTAAGTGGTTCAAGAATTTCTTGTCTTCATAGCTAAAATTTTGCTCCATGGAATTGCTGCAACTGTATCACACAACACACACTACAAAAAAGATATATGAATGTAAACTGCAAACCACATTCATTCTTTGTGTTTGTTCAGGAACCTATTCCATACAAAATGTTTCTTCAATTGTAGATATCAATCGGTGTGTGGCTGGATTATGTCAAGGGAAAAATAAGTGATTTGTGTGTAGATAGATTATCAATTAACATAACAAATATAAATAACATAGCACAAGGATTCAACAATAACATAAACATTAAATATAAGGGAGAGTTAGAAAGCAAGTCTTAGGGAGTCATATCAAGGAGATAAAACACGAGCCTTTATCAAATTTTTAAAATAATAGAATATAAAATGTTTTAGGAGTATTTTCAAGTGTTTTTCCTTTAAGTTCACCTCAAACAATGAAATTTTCTATCCTTTTATAGTGTAAAAATCAATCCCAAAATAATGCTAATTTAATCCATTAAATTAGAATTTACCTCTAAAATAATGGTGTTTTAATTTTTTTTTATTAATTTTGAAATTAAATCAAAACCAAAAATTAAAAAAGGTTTTAATTTTGAAATTTAAAACTTATAATTTTATGTTACAACAAATTAGACATGATTAGATAAGCTATAGAGACGCAGAATTCACATGCGTCTTATCCTCAATTAACATAGATATATTTTATGGCAATAGCCAATCAAAAAGTCAAGCAAGCATACGGGGCGAGGAAGAATGAATTGAATCTCTTATAGTGTATAAAGATGAGTTTTTATCGAGTTATCAAAATAATATAATATAAAATGTATAATGAGCATTTTCAAGTGTTATTTCTTTAAGTCGCCTCAAACAATGAAATTCCCCATGCTTTTATAGTGCAAAAGTCAACCCCACAATAATGCTAATTTAATCCATTAAAATAGAATTCACATATAAAATAATGATGTTTTAATTTTTTTTTATTAATTCTAAAATTAATATCAAAATTGAAAATTTAAAAAGGATTTTAATCTTTTGCTCTTTGAGAACTCACCGGTTTAACCAATGCTTGTCAAATTTATGCTTATGTTTCAATAATCATAATTTCTTATCTTTAGGAAAAAAATGTTCTGGACTTTTTACTTGGAATTAGAGAGGAAATTATTTTTTCTTTATATATGTAGTTTTAAATTTGATAACTCTCACCGTCACAGACATTTAGATTTCATTTATATAAAAGCACGATTCATGGAATCTCTAAATCAGTATCTTTCTAGTTTCGACAATGAGGCTTGGTTTGGTATCTATGGGATTTTAACAAAACCAATTTTTGTTGTGCTAAAGAAGGAATGAGTTGTCAGTTAAATGTTTAGTAAAATTTTGTTAACAAAACCTTTGAGCCTGATAATCCTTGAAGAAGTTTTCTGATTTTTGAAGCGACAAATAATGCTCATTCCATGAGCATTCTAAGTGAATAAAGTTATGGGATAAAAATTTCACATCGAATTACGTTGAAAATATAGACCAACTTATAAGATTCTAGATTACTCTACTTAACAAGGTTGACATTTTAAAATAGAACTCCAAATCTTAACATGGAATCAGAGTCCATTAAGTTTTAACTAGCGATTCGATCCGATTAAGACTCAATAAATGGGCATATGGATTTAAAGATTGGTTTGCTCAAACGGCCACCATCTTATGAGGACATGTTAAGCGATAAATATTTTACACCGAATAACGATGAAAATATAGATCAACTTATAAGATTTTTGGCTACTCCATTTAACAAGATTGACCTTTTAAGATGGAACCTCAAATCTTAACATAAAATGAGTTGAAACTACCTTTGTATGTGATGGTCGAAAGATTGTGAGCAAAGAAAATTTGAATCGAATTAAATGCGTTGTTACTCCATTGGAAAGCCACTGGTTTCCTGGTTGGAGGATATACCTAGTGTGGCATAAGGGATATGGATCATAGTCTTTGGCGGCTTATGATATTTGACAATTTTGAAATTTATCTACTACTTGAGTATCAAGGTCGTCGGCCATTTATCTTGGTAGACTTGGTACGATGATTTTGGTGTCTAATGGTTTCTGTTCGAGTGTGTTGGTAATATACAGAAGGGCATGGATGGAAGGTCTTCTTTCATCTTGTAACTTGCAAATGTTAATAATCAAAATTCTATTCAAGTATGAGAAGGTGTTACGTCAGGGCTCTTTCACATAAGTGGGTAAATCATCTGCAGCTGTAATTCTCTTCACCGCGTTGAGGCCTAGAAATGTATCTTATTGAAATGCTTTTGTTATGGTTGAGGAAATATTGCTATCGACGACATGGACATTTTTCAAATGGAAAATCACAACTGAAGACAATATTTTTACTAGAAAACACAACCGAACTCACGGCTCTACATTCATAAATTGACCATATTGAGAAAGTGAAAAATGCCCTGTTAGAGACGGACCGACCCTTATCTTTCTAAATGAATTGTATTTGGAGGATTCAACAAACACGCAAGAGACTTTAATGGTATGTATTTGTGGACGAGTATTGGAAGACTAGGGTGTTTCTTTGCTCATAGTTGCTTCAAATCTTTCATAAACATGAAACTTTCCATATTTTCCGATATTGAAAACAAGAATTAACACAGATGTTGTTGGAGATGATTTATAAAAAGGGTTATGTAAGGGTTGGTTTTTGATATATTAGTTTGACCAATTTTAACTAGCAAGAGCGTAATCAAAACACAATTTATATGAATGAAAATTTGGACAGAGTTTCGGTATAAAGATTATGCAAAACAAGGATTAAGAAGGAGTAGAAATAGAGAATAATCTAAGGCGAGACATTATATCTTTCCTTAAGACAAATTACCTTGCTACGATGCTCACGGTGAATGACACTTGTTTTCCAAGATACAATGGATTCACAATTTGTGGTAGTAGTACTTCAAACCACAAGAAATCGATGAACTTTTGACAGAATTTTCCCTCTACAAAGGAAATGTATGAAATGCTATGGAATTAGAAAGGAGAGAATTACAAGGGGAGAATGAAAGCTCAATGCAATTGGTGTACCCAAAATCATGTCCATAGGGTTCTATTTATAGATGCAGAAAGGGTGCAAATGAAGTAGTGTGGGTCAAAATATGTATCCTTTTAAAAAAATTACAACACTTGGCCAAAACTTGCACATTTCGAAAAGTTGCAACACTTCATTTCTTCCAATTTTGGTCCGCAATTTTTCATTCATCCGGAATTGATTTCGAGATTCCAAATATACCACGACGATCTACTCGACGAATAGAATAAATTGGTATATTTACTTTTGTAATTTGACCATCGGATCAAGTCCGAATATTTGGTCAAAATTGACACGTAGTTACACTTTTTCATTTTCCACTTTTACATACCTTTTCATTTTCCAATTTTTGGTTAATAATTTGAACCAATTCCTACAATCCCCCACATGAATGGAAATTCGGGTACGCACATGCAAATGTGATGATATGATCCAATGTAGAGAGGGTGCGAAAAAATACTGCATCAGGGATGGTGATTTTTGGCCTTGAACCTCCCTTAGTGAAATACTATCAGATTTACTCGGCTAATTGGTGGATCATAGGTCTTGAACCACTTAGCCTTTGGTGTAAGTCAAGAGAATAATACTCACACAGATATCTTCCATATTCTGTACTTAGTTCTTATGACTTGGCTCATTTTGGCCCTGAACCCTTTTTGGTTTCATAAGTGTTTAGAGAATTCAAACCTTAAACAATTCTTATCGAAGCGGCCCCACTTCACACTTGCATAGGTGACCTCCTATTAAGAGTATTCTGCCCTACTCCACTTGACTTAATCAAGATATAAGAATCATTAAAAGATAATCTTAGCCTCTATTCACTCTGCAGAAAGCACTTTAGTATCATAGGAATAAGTTAGGAATTCTAATTTCCTAAATGCTTCATGGAATTTTCACAACTTAATTGTCTCTTTGAACCAAGATCTTGGGATCTCCAGTCAACAAGGTAGGGTTACCATTGCAAAAACTTTTACGTAGTAGGCTTTAATCACATTCCTCTCGGTAGGCAACGCACTTGATCTCTAAGCAAACTTTTTGTAAGTGGATCTGCAATATTCTCCTTTGATTTCACATAATCTATGGAGATAACGTCATTTGAGATCAGTTGCTTAATGGTATTGTGTCTACGACGAATATGTCTAGACTTACCATTATATATGCTGCTTTGAGCCCTTCCAATTGCTGATTGACTATCACAATGTATACTTATCGCAGGTACTGGCTTGGGCCAATATGGAACATCTTCTAAGCAATTTTAATGCCATTCTACTTCTTCTCCAGCTTTGTCTAAAGCAATAAACTTAGATTCCATCGTTGATCGAGCTATGCACGTTTGCTTTGTTGATTTCCATGATACAGCAGCTCCAGCAATGGTGAATACATAACCACTAGTGGATTTGGAATCCTTCATATCGGATATCCAATTCGCATCACAAAATTCTTCTAGTACCACAAGATATTTTGTGAAGTGTAATCCATAGGTTAATGTATACTTCAAGTACCTTAGAACTCTCATCAAAGCCTTCCAATGATCATAATTTGGATTACTTGTAAATCTACTAAGTTTATTCACCGCAAAAGCAATATTCGATCGAGTGCAGTTTGTAATATACATAAGACTGCTAATTATTTTTAAATATCTTAGTTGTGATATGCTTTCTCCCATATTCTTGACTAAGTGCATACTCAGATCAAGAGAAATTCTTGCAGGACTTTCCTCAAATACGTCAAACTTCTTAAATACTTTTTCTATGTAGTGAGATTGTGAAAGTACAATTTTATCTTGCGTTCTAGAGATTTTAATCCCTAGGATTACATCTGCCACACCTATATCTTTCATATCGAAATGCTTTGTTAGTATCTTTTTGGTGTTAAGTAACATTTCGTGACTATTGCCCACTATTAACATGTCGTCCACATATAGACATACAATTACATAGGCATACGGTGTATGTTTAATATATACACATTTGTCACATTCGTTGATCTTGAATCTATTTGACAACATTGTTTTGTCAAACTTTCTGTGCC